CACACACACACACACACACACACACACACACACACACACACACACACGATATGGGTGCAAGGTCAAGTCCTACCTTCAGTAGGGGCATCAGTAAGGGTCTCAAAATGGTGGCGGAGGAACTTCTCCTGCTCAGGGGTCTGGGGTAAGGAGCTGCTGGCCAAGTCTGCCATCTCAGGCTGAGAAAGCTCTTCTGTACTCAGGTGCTCTGGATAGGAGGCGGGGTGGAGAGAGGAGTTGTCAGTACTGAGTCACGGCAGACGCCACCCCACAGCGGTGGAATCCAGACTCGCCTGTCACACACCCAGTTGCTACCAGGTTGAGGAGGAAATGCCAGTCTTCTCTTGAGGAAACTAAGGCTCAGGGCTCACAGGGGCCTCTACCTGGCTTACCTGGTTCACGGGGCATCGCCCTGGTGAGGCGAGGGCCGGGGTCTGTGCGTGGAGCTGAGAAATGGGCAAAGCTGCACTCCAATTCAGCCTCCGACTCCCCAGAGTCTGAAGAACAGAGCGGGGTCAGGAGAATGCTCTGGGGAAACAGGGCACATTGCTCAGCTGCTTTGGGTTTTGTTTCTCCGTCTGGAGGATGGGGGTGATAGGCATCACTGCATGTTTTTATGGGTGCTCAGCGTCTTCCGTGGCATTCTCCATGTTGGAGAACAGGGCCATCACAGGCCTCAAGGGCGCCTGCTTGCTCCCCACTCACCCTCGGGTGGGCTCTGATCCTTTGAGCTAACGGAGGAGACCCTGAGATAGGAGTCGCCCTGCTGGTCTGCTCCTGCCTCATCCTCGTCCTCGTAGTACTCCGTGCAGCACCGTCAGGGTTAACAATTAAGCTGGCATTAACAACTTGCCCTTGCCCACAACCCTGGAGCCCACACCCTGCTCCTAGAGGACACCTCAGCCTCTCCTGCCTCCTCCAGGCAAGGAAATGGAGGCTGCAGCGGACTGAGAGAGCCCCTCACCTTACCCACGCCCACCCCCAGGCCACTGGAGCGGAGAGCTCTTCCAGGTAGGACCTGTCACAAGGGTGCCCCTCTCCAGCTATGGCTCCCTCGGTGCACAGAACATCCACCTGTGCCTGCCTTCGACTGTCACCTCTGCCTCTGGGGAGCAGAGGAGGCGTTCTCTCGGCTCAGTGGATTCCCTCTGTAGAGGCAAGAAGGAGGGATGTCCTCGGCTGTCCTCTTGGGAATTCTCTGACTGGGAAGGAAGAGCAAAGCCATTCTGAGGTGCAGGTTTACCCAAGCCCTTGAACGCTACTGCAAGTTATACCACGAGCAGTGAGCCACAGCCCCCACCCCAGACACCACGTCAGGGACAGCGTGACAGGCACCACTCAGCCAGACATCTCCACCTGGGCATCAGCAGCCCCTTCACAGATGAGGTGTAAGTGTTACTGCAGATATAAACACGGTCTTGGTTTGGTCCCAGGGGTGGGATATGGGACTGATTCAGACTGTCTACAGCATCGGACGATTTGCCTCATGTGGCCTCTGAGAGGAGCTCTTTGCCAGCTGTAGACGGTTTAAATCTGAGGACTCTGGAAAGGGAATAAATGCCAAAGCCCAGAAAGGAGAAAGAACAAGCCTACTCCTGCTTCCTCCATGCTGTTTTTGGTTGCTGTTGTGTAAAGTTGAAGATCTCCTGAAACAAGGATTGGACTGGCTCCAAGGAACCTGATGACCCTAACCAGCAGGAACCAGCTAAGAAAGAACTGCACCCTCTCTTCCACTAACCTTTTCTCTCTCTTACCTGGCGTTGGAGTGTTGGAAGGGATTGGGGTGGAGTAGGGAGAAGAAGACATAAAAAACATAAATAAATATTTAAAAACTACTGCCAACAAGCTGTGACCTAAGGCCAGAGGAGGCCTAACCCTCTGTCTGCTTACAGGACAGTCAAGAATAAGCAAAGCACTAGCTGGGCAGGCGCGGTGATGCAGACATCACCAGCTCTCTGGAGGCAGAGGCACATGGTCTGAGTTCATGGCCAGCCCAGCCTGTCTCAAAAAACAGCATCAACAAAAATACACGAACCAGTTCACGGGGAGAGGTCAGAATACAGGCTCCCTCAGGTGGGGTGGGAGGTGCTGACTTAGGGCCACAAGAGATTTTCTAGGAGACAGAAAATGTTGTGTGTGATGAATGCGGCAAGTACCTCAGAGTGACGAGGGTAGCTCGCCAAGCCTTCTCCCTGAGGCATATGTCCGTTACCGTGTGAGCACTGCATCACAGTAAAGAGGAAACATATATGTTAGAACAGAGAAACATCACTTTGCCTTACTCTAGAAGACTACGAGCCGAGCCCTGCATCTGTGAGACCTCTGAGGCAGGGAACACAACAGACCAATTGTGGAAAACTAAGACAAGAGGCAAGCCTTTTACCTCAGGCCACAGAGGCAGGGAGGGGCTAATCCAGGGCTCTGCCCGCTTGAGCACTGCCCATTTAGAAGAAAAGCCTGTTCGGGGCCCCAAGCTCTTAACCCCTAAGTGATCCACTCCAAAAGCTTGCTCATATGCCCTGGACTCGCCCTTCTGCCCTCCACCTTCCCATGTAACCCTCTTTCCTCACCCCTGGAGTGGAGAGCCACAGTGCAGGCACTGCTGGTGGGCTTGGGGGGACAGGCTGTACCTCACTTAGCAAGCCTGCCAGGCTCGGTGGCTCCTCTGAGTCCAGAACAGAGTCTTCTAGGTTATCAGGCTTCATGGGTGTAAAGTAGGAATCCAGGGCTCGGGCATCCAGGATGGTCTTGAGGGGTTCCTGCTCGGCCCTCTCTGCCCAGCGACCATGTGGCTGGTAGCTGCGCTTGGCATGGAAAGCTGAACTGTCTGTCACATCCTCATCTCCGAGCTTGAGGAACAGGGACAGCAGGCAAGGCAGCTAGCCCCATGCTCACTATACTCAACGAGGCTACACAGAACTCATCCCATCTCCTGACTTTACAGCCCTTTAAGAAACAGCTTCCTATCTATTTTCTTTGAGATAGGTCAGACCTATAGCCCATGATGGCTGGAACTTCGTATGGAGTCAACTCTGATCCAGCTGGGGTTGTAGGTGCCCCACCAGGCCAGCTCAAAACCTCACAGAGGCTGTGCCACCTCTCCACATGGCTGTCTCAGTCACTATGCTGGGGACTCTACCTTTTTTTTTTTTTTTTAAGATTTATTTATTATGCATCCAGTGCTCTGCCTGCATGTACACCTGTATGTCAGAAGAGGGCACTCCAGATGTCATTATAGATGGTTGTGAACCTCCATGTGGTTGAACTCCTGACCTCTGAGCCATCTCTCCTGCCCCCAGGGTACCCTGCTTCTGATCCCCCTTACCTGGCCCTCCTGAGGCCTTACCAGCCAGGACTCTGCAGTTTCTTAGGCCCCAAACAGTGGCATCATTCCCCTCCCCACCCTCAGTCTGTCCCTCCCACTTCACTTGTATTCCAACACATTCTGTTAGCTCAAACACGTCCAAACACAGCCCATTCCTATGCTACCAACTGTGTCCACCAAAGCTATTGCTAGCGAGGAACATTTGTGACTTGTGTTAACCACACATTTTCTAATGTCCAGCTGTGAGACAGCCAGCTGAGTAGGCACTTAACTTCTCTGGGCCTCAGATTTCCTGTCTGTGAAATAGGGATAGTAAAATCCTCTACTTCAGTGAAGTGCTTTTGTTTGTTTGTCTGTTTTTGTGACATATTTTCTCTGTGTAGCCCTGGCTGTCCTAGAATTCGCTCTGTAGACCAGGCTGGCCTTGCACTCAGATATCCACCTACCTCTGCCTCCCAAGTGCTGGGATTAAAAGGAGTGCACCACTACTGCCTAGCTGATTTTTTTAAATATTCAAATAACTTTATTATGTTTCATAATATAAAATACAATTATTTTTCAGGAAATTTAAATATAAAACCCAACAATAAAATATAGTAGCTAGTTATTTCCATACAAGTGAAGATTCAGTGAGAGACTGAAGAAGGGCTTGGAATGAAGTTAAGCACACTGTGGAAGTTTGTTGATTATCACTGTAACTATAATGCAGGGAGAGGGCCTGGGCAAGCAGAACCAGGCCTGCTGTACAGGCCTTGACTTTAGGTATGGCCTTGGGTTGAAGTAAACTCATACAACTTTTGTTTTGTGTTTTGCAGTCCTGGAGATTAAACCTGAGACTTCACTGAGTTATAACCCCAACTCACTGGCTCTCTTTTTACTTGTCATTTACTATTTTGTTTGTTGCTGAGACAAGGTCTCACACACCCCTGGCTGGCCTGGAACTTGCTACATTGCAGAGGATGAACTAATCCTGTCAGATGCTGGGACAACAGATGTGCATCACACCTGGCTTACACAGCGCTGAGGATCAAGCCTAGGGCTTCAAGAGCGCCAACAGGCACTGACTGAGCTACACCCCCGCCCTATTACTGTGTTCCAGACAGTCTCCGATAGCCCAGGCTGGCCTTCAACTCCAGATCCACCCTCCTCCTCCCACCCTTCCAACGCTGGGTGTGAGTCACTTTGAATAGCTGGGATAGACTGTTGGCCTGTACCAGCAGCTCTGGCTAGAGTTAGGGCTCTGCAAGCAGCCTCTCCTCCCCAGCAACTAATCTGTGTCCCTCATCCGTGTCAGCCATTCCTTCCTCTTCAACACCATGGTAATTTCTCTTTTCCTCATATCCAAGTGAATGAGCCCATCTCTGAATTCACTCTAGAGTCCCCCTGTTTTCTTCTCCTGCCTGATCCAGCCCTCACCCTTTCTTCTAGGCCTCTTGCCTGCCTTCCCTTGGCCTGTTTCCCATCACTACATCCTCAGGCTCCACAAGACTTCACCAGATGCCACTTGGTACTGAGCTGACATCCCGAACAGTCCTTATTTTCCCTTCCTGGTGTCTTCTCCTCTCTCGCATGTGTCACTCCATATATTACATGGCTTACTTAATGTGGCCCCTGCTCCTCCCCCACCTCCCTTCACAGCTGAGCAGGCCTGGAAGGAAACCATATCTTGCCCTCTGGGCCCCTCCAATGGCCAGAACAGTGGCAGGTGTGGGGCAGATGGTTGTGTGAACCAAGAGCTGCCTCAGCTCAGACCGAAAGGATGATGGGGTTCTTCAAGAAAAGGACTTCCTGAAGGGAGGGTGGGGGAAGGGCTCCTCCCTTCCCATTCTCCCAGTACACTCACCAGGCGCTTCGCCCAGAGTGGCAGCTTGCTATTGGTCAGCAGGCACTGAGGATCTGTGGACATACATGGAGACATAGAGAGGTCAGCAGCCCCAGAGATGAATGGACCACATTCACAGCTGGGCAGTCTCCAGAAATGGAGGCACAGGAACCCAAAGTCACTGACCTCAATCTAGATAATAAGGCATGCTGTTAAGCTCCGAAGACTGACCGAGTCCAGCTACTGGGTGGGGCTATGCTACAGGGCATAGTCTCAGCATTCAGGGTGCCATGGAGGAGAAGCAAGAGCTCCAGGCCAGTCCAGGCTACAAAGCCTGTTTTAGAAGACCAAAACCAAGACTGTGGGGGAGGGCCACGGTGGGGCTCAGCTGTGGTGTTGCCTTGGCATGTGCAGGACCCTGATTTCAGTCCCTAGCATGATGGGGATGAGGGAGGGGAGCATAGGCACACCATTTTGGTTAGGACATCCAACTGAATTTGGAGCACTCTTGGGATTCCCTTTTAAAATAAATAAATAAGAAAAAGTGATGTCAGGCCCCAGTGTGTCTGTCTGTTCAGGAAAAATCCTCAACTGCCTGAGTAGGGGTCCAGGAGAGACGGTGCCCCTTCCACAACAACACAGTATGAAATTAGAAAAACCAAGCGGGGAGGTGGTGTTAATCCCGCACTTGGGAAGCAAAGGTAGGCAGACCTCTGTGACTTCCAGGCCAGCCGGTCTACAGAGAACTAGTTCCAGGACAGCCAGGGCTACACAGAGAAACCCATTTTGAAAAACAGACAGACAAAAAAATGAGGAAAAACTAAATATCCACTTGCATGGGGACTAACTCGGCGAGGAAGCTTTAAAGGTAGGACTTTACACCCACTCAGATTCCTTCAGATGAGTTGTTTCTGAGGGGAGAAAGTTGTGCCACAGTAGCTACAGTATACCAAGACTTACGGATGAAAGAGGGTGTGTCACATTGCGGTGCACAGATTGTGATGTTCAGTGCAAAGCCAGCAATCCAAACCAGCCTAGTAGGAGTGGTCAGCATGGGACAGCAGACTTGGAGTGAGGGAGATAACAAGCCAATCACACCTGCTTTTTCCAGCTGAACTCTCACACTATTGTTGTGTTCAGGAAGCCCTGGTCCTTCCATCCCCTAGGAAGAGCCACCCTGCAAGCAGTTCTGCCACTGTTTCCAGCCTCTCCTGGGAGGAGGAATTGTGGCCAGTAAACTCCCTGGGAAGCCTGCGGGTGGCTTCTGAGGAAAAGCTTTCTCTTTATGTATTTGCGTGTGGGACCGAGGACTGAACCCAGGATCTCACACACACCAGGCAAATGCTCAACCAAAGGCTACGTCCTCAGCCCTTTTTTTTTTTTTTTTTTTTTTTTGTGACACAGGGAGGGCCTCACTAAGTCCCAGGCTGGTTCTGAGATTACAATACTCCTGCCTCAACCTCCTGAGCATCACCACAGGGCCTGCCGGACGCATCTCCTAAGGGAAATATGTAGGAGGAACGATCTCTCCTCTTCAGCCGATCCTGATGTTGGGAACGTGAGCAACCATCTTGCACGAGGGCAGATGTAGGGGAGCAGGCACACGGCTAACCTTTCATCAAACGGGGCTAGAGTTCTCTCTTTCACAGAGGAGCAGAACCCTGCCTTTCCCTGGGAACCCTTTGGGGGAAACTCCCTTAGCCGCAGCCTGCAGGATGATCATGGCAACTGATGCTGAAATGGGTCACAGTTTACGCCAGGAACATGAGTCACAACTCCAGAACTTTGCTTGAGTATTAGAAAAGAGTGTTCATGTCTCTGTAGGGTTTATAAACCTACAGCTGATAGAGGCCTCTTCCCACCTCGAAAAAGGACAGTCTGCCTGAGCACAAGAGCAATGTGAAGAAAAGTGGAGACAGAGGATGGAGAAAAAGACCTTCCTTTTCTTTTTGGTTGGCCTGGAACTTGCAATCTGCCTTCTTCATCCTCCTAAGTGCTGGGTTATAAGTGTGAGCAACCATGTAGTTGCTCAGCAAAATTTCTCTCTCTCTCTCTGGATACAAGGTTTCTCTCTATGTAGTGCAGCCTGTCCTGGAACTTGCCATGTAAATCAGGCCAGCCTTAAACTCAGACATCTTCCTGCTCTGGGACTAAAGGCATACACCACCACACCCCACCCAATATCTTTTCTTTTTTAATAATTTCTTTATTTTCATTTTATGTACACTGGTCTTTTGACTACACATATTTGTGTGAGGGAATCAGATGCCCTGGAACTGGAGTTACAGACAGCTGTGAGCTGCCATGTGGGTGCTGGGAAATGAACCCTAGTCCAATGGAAGAGCAGCCAGCGCTCTTAACCACTGAGCCATCTCTCCAGCCCCCTATCTTTTTTTTTTAAAGTCTCATATCAAGCAGGCTAGCCTCAACTCACTATGTAGCTAAACGCCGGGTGATAGGCATGTGCACAACACTCAGTGGGAAAGCATCTTTCTTTTAATACCAGCTGACTACCTGGACCCAGCAGAGCTAAAACTAGCATTCTAGATTTTTCAGTTACATCAAACAAAACATTTTCTCGTTAGCTCAACTCTACACCAATAGTTTTGACCCAGGCCATGGTCCCCTTCCCTGACCTGGATCCAGGCTCTCTTTGGACGGTGTTTTCAGGAGCTCTTCTGGGTCACACTCCTCCTCCATCTCATCTTCCGTCTGCTCTCCAGGGCTCAAGGAGCGAATCTCGCTGGGTATGCATGCATATGTCTCCTGGCTTTGGGAAGGACACAGAGAGGAGAGAAACACAGGGAAATGGGTGAGATGGGGACTCGTCTGGAGCTGGGCCTGTCAAGAGCTTCAGCTGTGACTCTGCTGGTAGCCACATAGCAGGGTATCAGCCTCAAAGTTACGCAGCAAAGGGAACCCGTTCCCTTGGTGTCTCAGCCTATGCCATCTCCAGCACCACCTTAGGTCCTGCCAGTCCTCACAGGCACCTGGGAGCCTGCATGGAAGCTATGGCAAAGCCTCTATGGTGAGAGGTAGACCGGGACACACCCAGAGCAGAGAAGAAACCGCTAAAAATCAGTATTCCCCAACACCTTCAATCGTAAACCAGAACTTGAGCCAGGCACTGTGGCTCATACCTAAAATCTCAACACCTGGAGACTGAGGCAGGAGGACTACCTTGAGTTCGTGGCCAGCCTGGGCTAGATGGCAGACTGTATCTATAGTCACTGTGGGGTTCACTCCAAAGTAGTCTGAGAGAGGCACACGACTACAGAAATGTGCTTGGGGGCTCAGGTAAGTGAGGGAGCAGCTCTGTGCGGAAGGATAAGAGCACACTCAGGGTGCCCTCTGAGCACCCCTCTCCACGATGGGGATGGAGCCTTCTAGTCCCCTATCACTGTGCTCACTAGGCATGAGGCTTCTACACTTTAAAACTTTTTGGAACTGTTCCTAAAGCCTGACATTCCCACTAGGATAAGACTACCAGGCTTTCTTGGCCTTGGCCACTTCCCTGGTGGGGCTGGCAGGACCTGGGAGGGCTGCTCCATTTCTGGTCCTTGGGCTGCTGCTGCTGCTGCTGCTCTCGGTGGTTGATCTCCAGCAGGTGCTGCTTCATGTTGGTGGTGATCTCTGGACCCAGGTGCCAGATGAACACACAGCTGCACAGAGCACGACAAAGAGCAGAGGAAAGGGCACATGGCAGCCACTGCCATGCCTGAGCCTAGAGTCCCCACATCACCATGGCCAAGATCACACTCCCAACACCTTCTCAGCTTAACCCTGGCTCAAGGTCCGGGGATCCCAGCAAACTAGGGCCAGCTTTGGGGCCCCAAGACTCAAGAAACATGGCTTTGGGCAGAACAGTGGCAAATCAAAGAAAGAAACAAAAGAGACCTCCCCAGGACCAATCAACCTCAGAGGACAGGGTACCATCTCCCCTTTACAGAGCAAACTGAGGCTCGGAGAGGGGAAAGGACCTGTCCAACGTCACAAGAAAATGACAGATCTGGATGTGACTCAAGGTGCAGACTGTCCAAGGGGAGAGGAAGCTGGGAGCTCTGCAGCACTCTCTGCAGGCTGAAGACAGCATGCTGGGGCCCCGTGACGCACACCTACTCCTAGCAGGAGGCTCGCCCAGGGGCAGCCCCCACACTTGTCCCACCTGTCTCCAGAAACTGTGATCAAGTGGCGGCAGTCATAGGTGAACTTCATGCCAGTGACAATTTCTGCAAGAAGAGTGAGGCCATCACACTCTGGGTCAGACTGTGGAAGCAGGGAAGGTGGCAGAGATGGTCAAACACCTACCTGAGTGGCCAAACATCTTGGCAACACACTCGCCTGAATAAAAGTCAATCACTGAGATGCTTTTGTCGGAGCAGCTTGTGGCCAGGAAGGTGCCCGAGGGGTCCACGTGGACCTGAAGGAAGAGGCACTTTTCAGCTCAGGGTGCTTGATCCCCCTTGGGAAGCCTGGTTGAACCTCTCAGTGCTAGCCCTGACTGAGCACCCCTCTGTGCTGAACCCTCAAGATGCTCTTGTGAGCCAGCCTGGCAGGGCAAGAAGTGCCAGTGAAGAACTCACAGCTACCAGAGCAGAAATGGCGGGGGTCAGGCCCTGGGCTGCGTGCTGGGCCTGCAAACGTAACCCTCTCTTCAACCCTAGGACAGAAGCTACCCAAGGTCAGTCAGTCTGAGGCACAGCTGGGATCTGTTCTGGGAGCCTGAACTCAGAACTACCTTGGGCCAGAGTCTATGAAATGGGTCCACCTGTCTCGGGTCCTGTGGGAGGACAAGCTAGGAGAGAAATGGAGGTCTCTCTGCTTCTTCCAACCATGCCCTGTTGCCACCCAAACTAGAGCTCACTGTGCAAACAGAGGCTCCCTCCGTCCACTCCAACTCGAGCACCCTAGGCTGGCCAGGCCTGAGAGGGTGCCGTTTAGTGTGACATGTGAGTAAGGACACAGATCTGAGGAGGTTGGGTGGCTCTGTTGGGGTACGTGTGTGGTTTCTCACACTCACCTTCAGCAGGGACCCTTCGTCGCCCTGGGTGCCCTTGTAGCACTTCTTCTGTTTCCCACTCACCGTGTTGTAGACCCTGGGGAAGTGGGGATGCCATGTAAGAGCAGAAGACATCACCCTTTCCTCCTGGCCTTGCTGCCCTCTGCTTCAGAAGCCCCTGGAACCTCTTGTCTCCACCTGATGCCTAGGTGGGAGCCCCACCTCAAGCTGAAGTTATGTCCTGGAGTTCCGTGGCATGGTGTCTGCTCCCCTTTACAATGAGCTAAGGGCTTAGCTCCAGGTGGAAGGACCACATGAAGGAAGTACAGAGCACATTTCCCGGGCCAACCCTGATCGCCCTGAGCCTCGTTCAGGCCACCCAGATTCCAAAGGCTTGCTTCATCTCAGCCCTGAGCTCTACGCACTGTCCCCTCTATGAACTGTGAGCTCCATGAAGTGGGCTGGGCTACCTCGCCCACGGCTTTGCTAGTAGCATTCTCTAGCCCAGAGAGGACTAGAGTAAGTCAGGTGAAGGAACTCTAAGTCTGTGACTTCTCCATTCCCACACAGGCCCAGGAGAGCCCAAAGTCTTCTGCAGGCTGGTGGCAAAGCCTGGGGGCGCTGCTCCTCTTCTTTGTGAGACAGGGTCTCATGAAGGCCACGGTGACCTCCCATTTGCTATGCAGTTAAGGCTGGCCCTAAGCTCTGGATGTTTCTCCCGAGTGCTGCAATTACAAACGAATGCAGACCCTCTGACCGACACCCTCTTCCCCTTGCCAGGTCCTCCTGCAGTCTCCCTCAGGTGCTGAGAGCTGCTGTGACCTTGCCACTCTCACAGAGCTGAGTTCCTTTCCTCCCCAACAGCGGGGAGACAACCTTGAATTGTAACTAGTTTTATCAGTGCCTTGTGACCTCCCATCCTGAGACCCTCTGGAAACCTACTTTGTCTTACACAACTGAAGGGCCTGCCTCTCCTCTCCTAATCTTCTGGAAACTGAGGGGTCTACCGCTCTCTTCTGACTCCACTGTGCTCTCCACAGTGAGTGCCCTAGCTCTGCTAATAGTCCATCTCTCTCCCCTGTAAGACTCCAGTGACACAGCCAGGAGTGGTGCTGCGCGCATGCAGTCCCAGCACTGGGAGGCAGAGGCAGGCGGATGCACAGAGAAACCCTGCCGCTACCTTCAGGACCCTGTCATATCATATACAGGCTGGCTCTTTCGTAGCGCCTCACCATGGCTGCCTCTGGCCAAGAGCCTTTGGTTCTCCTAATAAAGCTCTTCTGAAGGCTGCTCTGGCCTCAGCTCCTTTCTAAGAACTGCTGTTACAGTGGTTGCGACACAGGCCCTGCTTGAGGCCTGACTTGCTGGGTCTGTCAGCCTCGCAGTTCTGCAGGGAGCAGAGGAGCAGGGAGAAAAGGCAAGCAGCCAGGGAAAAGACAGTCAGCAAGAAAATTAAACCTGCCTGAGCCACACTGAGCCAGGCTGGATACAAGCTGGGCCAGGCCAAGGCAAGGCACAGGGAACTCCTCACCTCACATTGCGGTCCTGGCAGGCCACTGCCACATACTTCTGTGTGATGTCAATGTCCATGTCATACAAGGTGGTCTTCTCTGCTACATGGTGGGTACGGACAAAGTGCAGCCCATCCGAGGTCTGGCAGGGCAGGCAGGACGTTTAGAGGGCACCTGACAGGCCCCACACCTTAGCCCCCAAGGAGGCCACCCCACTTACCTGCTGGGCACTGCGAAAGTAGATGCTCTTGTCAGCTCCACAGCTGATCATCTGCACATCTCTGGTGCCTGGAAGAGGAGGGGGCAGGGGCTGGACAGGACTGCCCTATGCCACTCAGGAGGGAAAATGAGGAGCTAGGAAATCCCACTTCAGGGCAAGCACCTGACTCTTCAAGGATCAGAAAAGTTAATAGCAGAGGGGAGGCCTCTTAAGACACGGTGTGAGGCAGGTCTGGGCAGAGCAGGAGTACACAGAGGACAGGGGACAGCATTTTGACAGCTGGGGCTGGTGGTGCATGTTAACCCCAGTGCTCTGAAATCTACCACTTGGGAGGCTGAGGCAGAGGAAACACAAGTTCTAGGCCAGCTTGGCTATGGAGAGCCTATCACAAAAAAACAAGGACAACTAAGGGCCAGGGATAAGCTCAGTGGTACAGCCCTTGTTTGGTATGCTCAAGGCCCCAGCGCTGCAGGTAAAACAGAGTAACAGGTGAAAGCAGTGTGGGATACGAGCCTGTCATCCCAGCACTTGAGATCAAGGGCAGGAGACCAGCTCAAGGTCAACCATGGCTCCACAGTAGGCTGAGCTGGTCTGGGTGGCACCCGAAAGCCTTGTTAGATAGCTGAGGATGGTCTAAAATGATTCAGCTATTTCCTCCTCCAAGTGCTGGCCCATGCTGCCACAGCTGGTTGGATATACATTTCACAGATGGCTAAAGACTGCCTCAGATACCCTCCTGCCACCTCCCACCTCTTTTTTAGACACTTATTGGATACACAGTGTATGGTGTACACATAGAGGTCAGAGGACAGTTTGCAGGAGTTGGTTCTCCCTTCCCACCATGTGGGTTCTAGGGATTGAACTCTGGTCTTCAGGCTTGGTGGCAAGCACCTTTTTAAACAGCTGGCCATCTTCCCTGCCTCTTCCTCATTAGTTTCTGAGAAAGGTCTTTCATCTTTCAGTGCAGGTGGAGTTCACCGATTGGCTAGACCTCCCCCAGAATCTTCATGTCTCTACTTGATGGGTGCTTTTATGTGGGTGCTAGGGATCAGAAGTCAGGTCACCATGCTGCCATGAAAGCATCTTCCTGAGCCATCTTCTCAGCCTCTGTGATGGTATGTCTGCCAACTCATTTGGAGTCACCCAGGCAACACAGCACAGGTGTGTGAGGAGCACTGCAGAGGTTAGCTGAGGAGGGTGAGCCACACTGGGTAGGCAGCGCTGTCTGGAGCAGTGTCCTGCACAGCCCCAGCATGCAGAGACTGTGGACGCTCCTCCTGCTCCTGAGGTCATACCTTCTGACCAAGAACTCTAGCTTCTCCTAAACTGTGAGGCAAAATAAATCCTTTCAATGTGGCTTCAGACAGGTGTTTTGTCAAGGCAAGAAGCAAAGCAAGCTGCCGGCTGGCCTGAGTACCGGAGCTCAGGCAGCCCTCTTGCCTTGGTCTCTGGAGCAGCTGCCCTCCTGGGGCGTGACTGTGACACTGCACTTTTTATTTATGTATTTTCTGTGTATGTGTGGTCGCCTGCATGCCTGTGTGTGTTCCAAGTCAGCCAGGACTACACAGTGAGCCAGTCTAAAAACACAACAAACAGCCAGCCTCTGAGGTGCTCTCCTGCCACCTGTTCCCCTAACCCCACCCCAGACAGGGTTTCTCTGTGTAGCTTTGGCTGTCCTGGACTTGCTTTGTGGACCAGGCTGGCCTCAGACTCACAGAGCTCCTCCTGCCTCTGCCTCCTTGAGTGCAGGGATCACAGGCGTGCACCGCCATGCCCAGATCCCTATTCACTTTTAAGATAACCTTATTGACATTTTCATAAATCAGTGAACCCCAAAGCCCAGTCTTTAGATCCACTCCTCTTTCTGCATCCCAAAGAGGACTATCTGCTGCGGTCCAGGAAGTGGGAGGGGAGGGGCTTACCAGAAAACTTAATGGCTGTGATGGAGGAGGAGTGGTCGTCCAGGGTCTGCTCCAGGTTGTAGTTCTTCTCCACATTTAACACGTGGATGAGCCGGTCCCGACTGGCTGAAGCCAGCAAAGTCACTCCTGTGAGTGGGGAGAACAAACCTGGGTGGCCAAAGGCTACAGGGGAGCTTCTGCCTCCCAGAGAAGCAGGTAGACTGAGATGGCCAGTCCTTGAAGAAGGGAGTCTTTGGCTCTGGAGCTGTAGCTAAGATGCCCGAAGCCAAGAAAGGGCCAAGTTCTGGGCTCTGGGTGGTCTGTTCCCAGAGCCCCCACGACCTTACCGCCAGCTCAGCAAAGGCAAATCTTGATGTGTGCACACACACTTCTTAGATACTACTGCACACAGCACTCCCCCTGGTGAGCCCTACTCTGTGGGGAGCCATGGGAAGCCCAGGCATTCTCTTAGCCTCACTTAAAACCAGGCCCAGCCCTGAGTCTTGCCTCCCCAGGCCTTGCTGACAACTTTCAGCTACAATCCTTTCACTGGGCCTCCCCGCTTATTGGCCCTCAGACTATGCCTGATCTGATCACCTAGTAGAGCTGAATTCTAACAATAGAGCCAGAGGCCAAAGAGCTCAGGGAAGAAGGAAGAGTCTGATGGGCAGGGGGTATAGAAGATGGAAGAATGAAAGATGGCATGGAAAATCATCACTTGCCACCTCGGGATTCTTCTCCACCTAGACGGGTAAAGTGGTAGTTTGATGAGAAATGTTCCCATAGGCTCACGTATCTGAACACTTGGCTCCTGGCTGGTAGTCCTGTGTGAGGAGACAATGGAACCTCCAGGAGGTAGAGCCTTGCTGGAGGAAGTACACCAGTCACTGGGGACCAACTTTGAGGGTTTGTAGCCTCACCTGACTTCTGCTCTCTAACAGGATTTGAGTAAGAACCACTGTATAAATAACATCACGGTAGCAAAGCAGAAGTGGACTGCAGTGTTTTACATGTGTGCATACATGTGCATGTGTGTACGGAGGCACGTGACCAGATGGGACCCAAGGCCTCTACAACGCTGGGTGATGCTCCACCACTGGGCTCCAGCCCCAGCACACACTCATGTACGTGGAGATGGTCTCTCCTGAGAGTACTGGAGGGCCAGGCGACATCATGCCTGGACTCTTCACACCACCCAGCACAAAACCAAAACGTATACGCTCTTATTTACCCTGTGTGTGACACACATGCACAGAATGGCGAGGGCAAAGCGGAGAAGGCAGGCAGACCTTCAAAGGGTTAGACTAGATTTAAAGGGATGCACTTAGATGAAAGCTTTGTAAGCAATCTTGCAATGTTCCTGTAGGAATTTAACATTCACCCATTCATTTTTTACTTATTTATTTTGGTTTCTTTGTGTAGTCCTGGCTGTCCTGGAACTCTCTCTGTAGACCAGGCTGGCTTTGAACTCACAGAGATCTGCCTGACTTTGTCTCCCGAGTGCTGGTTAAAGGTGTGCACCACCACCGCCAAGCTTGGCACTTAACTTTTTTTAAAATAATTTATTTAATTTTATTTTATGTCCATTAGGGTGAAGGTATCAGATCCCTTATAGACAGTTGTAAGCTACCATGTAGTTTCTGGGAATTGAACTCAGGTCCTTTGGAAGAACAGACAGTGCTTTTAACCACTGAGCCATCTCTTCAGCCCTGGTACTTAACTTTTTAAAAGGTTTGTCCATCTAGCAGACAACGAGCTTATTCACATTCTGGGGTTATGTTTATTCATATCCTCACTCACACTCACACACATTCAGCTTGGGCCTTGATGAGGTTCTAGGACCAGCATGAGCCTTCAGCTGTCTTGCTTTGTCGCGTCCAAGCCAGTTTGGTCCAGAGTCTAGCAACAGGGCTCTTTCGAACTGAAGACTCCCACCAGCTGCTGCTTCCCATGGTCCTGCCCGCCTGACCTCCGCTTGCTGTGGGCTTACCTGTCTCAGGCTTGGAATACTCCAGGCATAGCACCTCAGCGTCATGGGCCTCCACCTTGATCAGCTCATCCATGAAGTGCAGCTCGTGGATCCTGGGAGACAGAAACACTGCCAACTGTACCCTGCCCACTGCCCACTGTGCCCACAGCGCACTGTGCCCACAGCCCGGCTCTAGGCTAGCACTGCAGTCATGTAGTCAAATAGTTTGAGATGCCCAACCACACCCCCCGTCCAGAACATGGCTGTGGTAATGTGACAGGGTAGAGCCAAGGAGACCACAGGTATGAACCTACTGTAGTTCACAGGGACTGACCACAGTCCTTTGTATCAAAGGGCATTTTTGTAGAGCTAAATAACATAGGTAGTCTCCACTGGAAAGGACAAAGGGTCAGAGACCACATTCATGGATTTACCTTTCTTCTTCTTTAATTTTATTTCCAAAAACAGGGTTTTTCTGTGTAGCTCTACCTGTCCTAGAACTCACCATGTAGACCAGGCTGGCCTGGAACTCACAGAGACCTGCCTGCCTCTGCCTCCCGAGTGCTGGGATTAAAGGCCTGCGCCGCCACGCCTGGCTCATCCCTCAGTCTTAAACAGTCTCAAACGTAGACTTTCCTTCTTTTTGCCACTACAGGAAGCTCCTCTAGTCTGCCACGTGAGTTGCAGCCCAGTCTTTCCTGGTCTCTCTGGTCTCAATTAACCCAGGTATAGAGAGACGCAAAGCAGGGCTCACATAGAGCAGGCGTGGGGAGGGGTCAAACCTCTTGTCTACCCAGTGCTCAGCCATCACCAGGCCTGGAGCAAGAGTGTTCGCCCATGTTAGCACTCAAGGAAGTGCTGTCACCAAGTGCAGTCTAATGACACACTCACCTCACCTAATGCAGTGATTGGTATCACAATTGCCAATAATTAAAAAAAAAACAATCACAGAATTTCACATGGAAAATGAAACAAACAAGCAAAACCACTAGGGCTAAAGAGATGGTGAGGAAGGGTGCTTGCTGCCAAGACCAATGATTGGAATCCTCAAGAGCCACTGGAAAGAGCTGACCCTCAGAGCTTGTCTTCTGACTTCCACACAGAGATACACATAAATTAAAAACTACCCACTTGTTACCCATGGGTAGCTAGCTGCCCCTTTGTGGGGCACATGCTTTGCAGTTTCTTCCCCACTTGCAGTTCAAGGCTCAGATGGCCACAGCTGCACTTACCATCTTAAACCTGGTCTCCTGGACAGAGCTCGTGCTGCTAGCACACATTAGCTAAGCATGATGGCTGCTCATGCCTGTCCTACAATCCTAGCACTCTAGAGGCTGGGGCAGGAGGACTGACACAAGTTCAGGAACAGACTGGGCTGCCATTCAGGGTGCCTACAGTACAAGGCCCCGTCTCAAACCTGAACACAGCGCTGGGGGGACAGCTCAGAGGGTAAGTGCTTGCTGTGTGTGAGGATCTAAGTCTGGATCCCCAATAGCCATGTTAAAAGCTAGCCACAGTACAATGTGCCTGGAACTTAGCACTCGGGGGCAGAAACAAGGGGATCCCTGGGGCTTACTGGGATCTAGGGAGTTTCAGGATCCATGAGAGCCTGTCTCAGAAATAAGTATAACAGAGTGACAGAAACCTCACTTCTCCCTCTGTACAGGCATGCACACCCACATATACACAGACTACACGCCCAGACACACACATACAGACAAATAAATGAATAAATAATACAGTGAAAATAAAAACAAATCTGGATACAGTGGTACACAGCTCTCACCCCAGGACTCAGGAGGCAGAACAGGAGAATTAGGAGTTAAAGGCCATCCTGGCTGTTTAAGACTGTCTAAAATAAACACACCAGGCGCTGGAGGGGTGATTCAGCAGTTAGCAGTACGAATGCTCCTCCAGAGGACCTGAGTTTGGTTCCTAACATCAATGTTGGGTGGCTCACAAGCACCTGTAACTTTAGCTCCAGAGCATCTTAAATCCTTCTAGTTTCTTCCAAGGAGACACATAGACAGACAGACAGAGACACACACATACACACAAACCAACAACCAAAACAAACAAACAAACAAACAAACAAACCACCAAGTGAAAGAACAGCCTGTGGGGTGGGTGAGTCCCATGCTTTCTATGCTGTACCCAATGAACCCTCAGTGTACCCAGCCCTTACAGGTAGCGCCTCCCACTGGCATTTCAGTCTCGTGCCCAACGGCTGTGAGTGTTTCATGAATCTCCCTTGTCCAGTACAGAGGCCGGTCTACACTGCTGCCGTGACCTCATACGTTCAGAAAGGCCCTCCCAGCTCAAGTCCTGGAGTGCTGCTGGTCTGCATTACTACCCATGGTCCCTTACTCTCCACCAGCAGCTGAGGTGCCAAGACCAAGACTCCTCCCCAAGGCCCTGAGAACCCCTGCTGGGGCTAGGAGGTGCACCAGCCATCCCCAGGGCCACTTGCCTCAGATTTCCACTGCGGTCACCTGAAGCCAAGTGCTGGCCGTCGGGGCTGACCTGCATGACTCGAACCCCAGCTTTCATATCCATGGGTGTGCCGTTCTCACTGCCCCGGTCTGGAAAGTGAGACATGTCCTGTAGGTGCTGGGTGTTATTCTCCACATACACCACCTTCAGCAGGGTCTGTGGGACAGAGGCCAACGTCAGCCTGTGAGGCGCTTGAGCTCAGTGCCTCTCCTGGCATCATCTTCCTGAGGAACAGAACTCAAGCTGGGAGCCAGGAGCTTCCCCACAGGGAACAGAAACTGCACTGCACTGTCTTCCTAACAGCTAGACGAATTTGGACACTGAGAGGGACAACAAGTGAGAATGCTCCTGTGGGCAGTCTTCCCCATCTGGCTCCACAGGGCTCTGATACACTGGCTCATGAGGGTGACAGCTACCTTCTATGTGACAGAATGAAGGGGGGCCCTTGCGTCTCTAAGAGCTTCCTGGAGCTGGACGAGCTGCCTCCAGACTTCTTTCTCTTAAATGTGTCTGCGTCTTCTGCCTGCACGCAGGTATGTGCACCGTGCATGCGCTGGGCTCGAGGGGGCCGGAAAGTCACTGGAGCCTCAGTCACTGGAGTTAACTGGTTGTGAGCTGCCCCGGGGTCCTCTGTGAGAGCAGCAAGTGTTGCTGAGCCATCTCCCTCTAGCCCACAAACCCCTTTTACACATGAGAAAAGCGCACTTTCACAAGAGTTTTAAGATGTTCTTTTTCTGTTGTTGTGACTTTGTTTTTATAAGACAGGGTCTCCTGGAAACCAGGCTGGCCTCAAACTCCTGATCCTCCTGCCTCTGCTTCCCAATCACAGGTTTATGGTGTCTGACAGCGTGCCTGGCAAATTTCACATTTCTTATCACACAGAAGACAGAGCTGCTGATTGCAGAGGGCAGGCAGCAAAGGGGCAGTTACCATTCATCCCCAGCACTTGAGGCCTGCATTATTGCTGCCACGCTGACCTTTCAAGGTGTCACTGGGTCACTGTGGGGCCTTTGCACAGGTTTTTCCCCAGGTCTGGAGTCTGCCCCTCTTTTTACCCCTCCCCCATACTGGGCTGAAGTGTTTCTCTCGGAGGAGCTGCTTCTGCTGGCGGAGCTCCTGGGCTGGCGCACTGGCCTTGCAGGGCACTAGCCTCCTGTCACTTTCTTTCATGGTGCTCCTAAACGTGTATTTGCATACGACTCGCAGCTATGGAATCACTGTCTGCCTCTCACTAGACTTGGAGGTGCCACATGGATGCTGTAGCAAATGGTACAATTAAGTGATTCAGTTCTCTGCTCCCTAGAAAAGTTCCCGTGCTGACCTGGCAGCACCGACTAAAATTTCCTCAGCAAACTGTTTCTCCCCAGCCTCTCCCTAGAACCCATCTCTCACACCAGCTGAGGTTCCTGTGTGACAGCCACTGACAGGGGTAAGTCCCTGGTGCTCACTGTACTCTCCCGAGTTGCTACTCAAGACTTGGAAGCAAGACCATCCCCAGTGTGTAGGCTGCCTGGAGAGGCCACACACCTCAACAGCAAAAGCTATGCTGGAGAGAGAGAAGACAGATCTGCCACCCACCACAGAAAGGGAGGAAGGAACAAAGAGACAGACAAGAAGGGATGAGAGTGCTCTATCTGTTGCTGCCCCTGGGGAGGCCTAACGTCCTGGTTCCACAGGCAAGTCAGCACACTCCTAGACACCAGACTAGTGAAGCCACTCACATCGCTGAAGATGTTTTTCCGCCACTGAGTGTCAGAGCTCCTATTCATATTCCAGAAGCGGATGGTGTTGTCTGAGGAGCAAGTCAGAAAAGAGCCGGACGGCAGGCAAGCTCTCTGATCTTCAAATTCAGGATACACCTATAGTCCCAGAGAACAAGGCAACACTGGAATGACAGATGATGATGACATGGACTACGCCTGCAATCCCATCAGTCAGGAAGATCAGAAGTTAATTTCAGACTTAGCTACATACTGAGTTCAAAACTAGCCTGGGCTACATGAAACCTTGTCTCAGACAGAAAGAAAAAACATTTTGAGGACTACATAACAAGATTCTATCTCAAAAAAACGAGCCAGGAGCGGCAGTACCTGCCTTTAATCACAGCACTTCAGAGGCAGAGGCAGAGGCAGGTGCATCTCTGTGAGTTTGAGGCCAGCAAGGGTCACACAATGAGATTCTGTCTGAAAAATATGTGTGCATGTGTTTCCCGAATAGAAACAAACAAACAAACAAAACAGAAAACAAAAGAATGTGATCATTTTCAGAACTGAGTAATTGCCACTCTTCAATTTTGGTATGTGTGATGTGGAAAAAAAATTGAATAATAGGATATTCTCATTCTATAATTTCCTGTGTCTTTGACAACTTAGGTGTCACCTAAGTGCCCTGAGTGATTTCATAATTAGCAGGCTGGATGGAGCAGGGGATGGAGCTCAGTGGTAGCGCACTTGTATAGTGTGAATAAAGCTCTGGGTGAAAAATGAAAGCAAAAACCAAACACCAACAAAAACAGCCATGCCAATTCCAACTGAAAAATTAAGCAGGGTTTTCCCAAATAATAGCTGGGTCCAGGCCTGGGCCAAAAAATGTACAAGATGAGGCTCGAGCATCTTGACACCCCACCTGCAAGGTGCTATCAAAGATTATTAGGGTTGCTTCCAATCCCTGAAGCCAATGTAAAGAAGTTCCCATTGGCCCAGAACAGACAGTTTGAGCTCCAACAACGTTAATGGTGGCAGACAAAGGCCTCTCCAGTAAATGAAAATATACAAGTTTATATAATGCTATGAACCGATCCACCAGGTACCTTCAGCAGGCAGATAATCAATTGTTTGTAAGGGCAAAGAAAAAGAATCAAGCATCATTCTGCCATGGCTGCAGCAAATGTCCATCAAGTGACCAGGTAATCCAGAACAAGACGTGACTCATCCATGTTCGTGGGGCAGCAAAGAGAACGGATAGATGAGAAGATCCTACAACGAACTTCCCAACTAAGAAATGGGTCTGCGCATTGGACCTCAGTGCCTGCTAACAGTCAAGCTGTACAAGCTTTCTCTTTAACTAAAACAAACAAACAAAAAACCCACAACTTTATTTTTTTATTTAAAAATATCTTTTTGTGTTTTTTTGTTTTGTTTTGTTTTGTTTTTTCAAGACAGGGTTTCTCTGTGTAGCCTCGGCTGTCCTGGAGCTAGCTGTATAGATCAGGTTGGCTTCGAACTCACAGAGATCTGCCTGGCTCTGCCTCCTGAGTGCTGGGGTTAAAGGCGTGAGCCACCATGCCCAGAGAAGACTTTATTTTCATTTTATGAGTGTTTACCCTGCATGGATATGCACCATGCCCATGCAATGTCCACAGAGGCAGGAGAGGGCGAAGATCTCAGAAACTGGAGTTACAGGCCATTATGAGCCACCACCTCACACCTAACCATTGAGCATCTCTCTAGTCTCTAAACAGAGCTTTTGAGATCTCCTTCCTTCCTTCCCTCCCTCCCTCCTTCCTTCCTTCTCTCCTTCTCTCCCTCCCTCCTTCTCTCTTCATCACAGGGTCTCACTTTCTGAACAGACCTGGCTGGCCTGGAATTTGCTCTGTACACCAAGCTAGCCTTGACAGAGATCTAGCAGCCTCTGTCTTCAGGGATTAAAAGCAGGCATGGGTCATCCACCCTGTTCAGGTTCTTTTCCTTCTTTGGGACAGGTTCTCATGTACTCCAGGTTGGGCTTATATATTCTGTATAGCCAAGGATGTCCTTGAACTCCTAATTCCCTGCCTCTACATCAAGTGCAGGGATTAAATGTGTGTGCCAACTAACCCAGCTCAAGTTGTGTCTTTTTTTAATTTTTATTTTTATGTTCATTAGCGTGAAGGTATCAGATCCCTTAAACTGGCGTTACAGACAGTTGTGAATTGCCATGTGGGTGCTGGGAATTGAACCCGGGTCCTTTGGAAGAGCAGACAGTGCTGTTAACCACCGAGCCATCTCTCCAGCCCTAAGTTGTGTCTTTTAACACAATGGTTAAAGAAGCTTTCTAAGCTCTGAGGGGAGTACAGGAGCTGTGCCCAGTGGGGACAGAGCTGGACAGAGAGAAAGAGGGCCTCACCTCCACGTTCCAGACAAAGGAGCTGTGGAAAAGCTCCGACCATATCTTGCAGACTTTGCTGATGTCCTTGACGTCCCAGACGTAGATGCTGTGGTCTTTGTAGACACAGGTCAGCCACTGGTGGATGGGGTCAAAGGTCAGTGCCACTGTATCGGGGTAGACGGCTTCTGCTTTTCTGTGGAAGAGGAAGCTACAAAGCCATACAGGTGAGTCACCATCAAGGCCAGCGAGCCCCTGCATCTCTGTGGCTGGCCACTTTTTACTCGAAGCCCACTTCCTGTCTTTTGATTTGCTTCCAACACAGGCTGCAAACTGGAAGTGCCCGTCCAGCTTTGAGAGCACGTTCCGTTTCGTCTAAATGCCTCTATTTACTATGTGTTGCTCCATTAGAAATGTAAACTAAGGCTGAGGTGTTATGAAAGCACGCTGCGTGGCACCCATTGCAGTTAAAGTGGCTTGTCCTGTAGGGGGGCAAACACCACACACGTGATGGTCATCAGTGGTGACATGATCAACAGCATCTGCCACCTGGAATGTACGCACCAATAAGAACACTGAACATAAACTTGAAGCCAGGTATGGTGGCGCACACCTTGTAGCCCAGCACTCACTGGGAGACAGAGGCAGGCGGATCTCTGAGTTCAAGGCTAACCTGATCTAGAGAGTGAGTTCAAGGACAGCCAGGGCTACACAGAGAAACCCTCTCTTGAAATAAATAAGTGAATGAATGAAAAATAAATTTAAGGAAGAACTGGCAACTACTGTAACTAGGAAGCAGAAGCCATCATTGTGTCTCAGGCCTCTCCTAAGACCCAGGTTAAAACATCAAGTCTATGGTGAGAATTCTGGAATTTGGGTTTCTATGAAAAACACAGAAATACTAGATAAAATGTGCTTTTGCTTTAATCCCTAGTGCAGGGATGAGGGGCTGCTTCGGACTGTCCACAGCATCTGACCATGCTTTGCCTGGTGCTCTAGCAGGGGCGTGGTTTTGTCAGCTTCTGTAATTGTGTGACGTTGGAATTAAAGGGTGTATAAATGTGAGGGGATATGGGGGAGGGGCTGTTATTTAAAAAGGTTGGTTGCAGTTTGTTAGTAGCCATGGTCAAAGAAGAAACAAAAGGAAATAAATTAGATTCAGGGATTTTCCTAATTCCTCTCTCCCCTCTATCCTTGTTTCTCTTCTACCTAGTGTTTGGGGTGAAACCAGGGGGATAAAGGGTGGAAAAAAGAACCCACAAAAAGCTGGGCAGTGGTGGCACAGCCTTTAACTCCAGCACTCAAGAGGCAGAAACAGGTGGTCTTTGTGAGTTCAAGGCCAGTCTGGTCTAAAGAGTGCCAGGACAGCCAGAGCTGTTACACAGAGAAACCTTGTCTTAAAAGACAAGAACAAAACAACAAAAAGAACCCACAAAGTAGCAAAAGACCAGAGACCTTGAACTCTCAAAGATCTGCGGCAGGTGTGTGCCACAATGCCTGGCTGAGTTACTGACTAATTATCACTTTTATCCCCATTCCATTTAAGCCCAGATCCTGTCCATTTCTGTTCAGAGGGAAATGAGCATAAACGTCAGGCCTCCTCTCTTCTGTCTGGATTCATTAATAACTGATCCAAAACTGCAGTGCAAGGAGCTGAGGAGCAGGCTCCAGACCTTGCATTTACTACAAAGCCTACGGTACATTAAGTACTTGTTGCATGCCATTCAGTTCTCACTGCTAGCAGGAAAGTGGTTTTGTTTTGCAGATGAGGAAGCAAACTCAGGGCACACTGATGAGGCCCACACTACAGGAGGTGGAGGAGCTAGGCAGCCTGCTACTGCAATATGCCACACTGCAGCTTGCTCGCCTGCCTTCTCTCTTTTCTTTCCACACCCAGCAATGCTGTCCAGCTCTCTCTTGTACATGTTGCTGGCCTAAGAGCCAATAACTACAGAGAGGCAGCCCAGCACAGTTACATACCATGCCACTTTCCACAAACAGGACTTGCAGGGGAGCACGCCACATCGTGGGCCTTCCCTTTGTTCTGAATATGGCACTCAAGGGCTTACCATGAACCCCGTGGCTACTCCATGAACCTCAAGAGCGACAAAGGGTGACCCAGCTGACCTCCATCAGCCTGCTAGCCTCCAAGCCCTTTGATAGTTCTGCGACATGCCGCACCTGGTGTACTGTCCTCTTATGTTCACACCAGATGCTCCGGCCAGAGCCCCTCCCAGCACTCTTCTAAGTCACTGCTTTCTTTTGCCATGGTCTCATCTGCATACTCTTCATGGAGCTCTCTCCCTGTACACGCTTCCTGGAGTACAGGCTTTCCATGCAGATTTTTTTTTTTTTTTTGAGATAGGGTTTCTCTGTTTAGCCCTTGCTGTCCTATAGACCAGGCTGGCCTCGAACTCAGAAATCCTCCTGTTTCTGCCTCCCAAGTGCTGGGCTTAAAGGCGTGAGCCATGGTGCATGGATGCTGGCAGAGACCTTCCTGGCCCCAGTCCCTGCTTTCAGCCTTGGGATGTCACGGAGTAGCTGCTTAGTAAATGTTACAACCAGGGGAGTGCCTGCTGTCATCCTCCTGTTCTGAGGTTTCTTTCCTGATGTTGGAGTGTCCCCTTACCCTGAGGCCTGCCTTTGAAGCAGGACTCTTCTGCTTTCTTTGCTGCCATGAGTTTTCAGAACTAAGAGCAATCACTAGTATTTACAGTATGGACACTCAAAGTGGATGGGCGTGCAAGCATGGACGGCTGCCAGTGAACAGATTCGGGCACACCCTCCCTCCCCCAGCGCAGGGCAGTACCTGGAGTCCAGGCCCTGTGCCACATCTATTCCTAGGTAGTGGGGCTTTGGCAGGTTGGCGAGGTAGTGCAGGCTGTGGGCCTGGAAGACTCGGACTATGCCGTCTGTGCACCCGCAGAAGATCAGCTCCTCACTGACACACAGGCAGGAAGCCAGGGATACCTGAGGAGACACACCCAGGTGAACTTGGTGCTCTCCATGACTTTGAAATACAGCACCAGGTTCCAGTGAAGACGCCAGCATGTGGGTAGAGATGAGACTTGGGCAGACTTGTCACAGCTACTCAGAGGAGCTTAACTGTGCATGAAAGTTTGTCAGGGATGGAGAGACGACTCAGCAGTTGAGAGCAGCTGTTCTTGCTGAGGACCCAAGTCCAACTCACACCCACGTGGTGGCTCACAATATCTCTAACTCCAGTTCCAGGGGATCCAGTACCCTCATCTGACCTCCACAGACACCAGGCACACAAGTGGTGCACATGACACATGCAGGCAGAACACTCATACACATAAAATAAAAATAAACAAATCTGAGCGATGCACGTCTTCAGCAGGCCGTGACTTTGGCAGGTCACTTGCAGTAACTGGGCTGAAGTTTGGACCTGGACACACAGACAAAAGGGGTTGCATGCATCAGACTCTACACACAGACTCCAGGTTTCCACAGAAACTTCACTTATTAGTCATTATTAGTCATCTGGCGTCTGTGAAAATCTGTGTGCGTGTGCATGCTCTTGGTTTTGCCTGTTTATTTTATAAGACAGGGCCTCACTGTACAGCCCGAGCCACACTGGAATTTCTGGCAACCCTCTGGCGTAGCACCACACCTTACCAAATAAAAGGTGCTTCCTTGCACCAGTAGAGGTGGCGTACAACTGCAATGCCAGCACTGGGAAAACTGACGTCAAAAGAGCACAAGTTTGAGGCCTGAGCTATATAACGAGACCTTGTCTAGATAAAAGCAAACAAGCAAAATAGCTTTTAACTTGCTTTGAAGTTGCTTAAGTTCTAGAAAAAAAGATTAAAAGAAAAAAAAAATGTTTACAGCTAAAGAGATGGCTCATCAGTTCCAAGTACTTATTGCTCTCGAAGCGGCTGGAGTTTGCTTCCCAGTGCCCACACCAGGCAGCTCATGGTCACCTAGAACTCTACGGCCAGCGGGTCCTATGCTGTCTTCTGGCCTCCATGGGCTCCTGCACTTATGTAGTGACAGGGACCAGAGCTTGGTTCCCAGCACCCAGTGGTCAGTTCACAACAGTCTGTAACACACAGACACACAAGTAAAAATAAACTTTAAAAAAAATGATGCTTAGGTTCCTAGAACACAGATACCACAGCCTGCATGCCCTGAGGCCAGGCATGCCGACCCTCAGCAGAGGCCAGCCAGCACAGTCAATAAAAAGCGCATCTCCTCCACCCAGTCAACGGTAACTGAGCTTGGAGCAGGCTGACAGCTTGGACTCAACTTTCAGGCACTGGGAGAAAAAAAATAACCCTGCAATTAGTAAAACATTGACCTTTAGTCTAAAAATGTACATATTTGCACAAGCTTTTCTTTTTTGACAGAATAGTAGGTTCAAGATACCTTAAATTAAGAAAAAATCCCTCCTGCACATTACCTCGTACGACCATCCACTCTGAGGAAGGAGGCATTTCCACTAAATGCACTGATTTAGTTATTTGTGGAGTGAAGGGCGCCCTGTGCCACAGCACACACGTGGCAGTGAAAGGTCAACCTATGGGAACCAGCTCTCTCCTCCCAGTGAGGACCTCAGGCTGCCAGGCTTGGAGGCAGCCTCATTTACTTGCTTGGCCAGCTTACTGGTCTAGCATTTGCTTTTACAGATGAGGAAACTGAGGCTTGGGAAGGGAGAGTCTCCCAGAGAACCTGTGTGGTCAGCCATTAACATGGAGCCAGGCATGCGCAGCGCACGCTTGTAATCCCAGCACTCAGGCTGAGGCAAGAGGATCGTGAGCTTGAGGACAGACTGAAATGCACAATGAAGGGAAGATCCTGACTTGGAGAAAGCCCCTCCCCAGATCCCGGCTAGTGCAGCAGAGTCTGGATACGCTAAGGGAAGAGTTCCCCGCTGGCTGCCGGCAGAAAGGGAGGCAGGCACCTTCAGGTTGATCCACTTTTCCAGCACCCGCTTCTCACTGAACTGGCAGAGCAGGCCAGAGTAGGACACGCAGAAGGTATTGCCCGCCATCTGGCCCCGGCCACAGGCGACATCGCAGAAGATGTTGTTGTGCAGCTCACCCAGGATGCCCGAGCGCCCTACCAGCGGCACTGTGCCCGTCACCTGGAAGCAGAGCAGGACATGTTAGGGACTGCCCGTGCTCAACAGGGCCGTAACAGGCCCCTTAGGACACAGCTAAACAGAAGGGTCTTTAAGAAAGCCTCCATGCGGAGGAGGAGGAAAGGCAGAAGCCACACTCTGGGCAGAGGGGCCAGGAGACAGTGGTCCAGTAGTGAGCTCTGGCCTAGCGGCAGAATCCAGCAGGGCTTACTAGTCAGAACCTGGAAGCCTGAGAAGCTGGGTGCCCTGGGAGACCACTGCCTCCTGCCCCAGGTAGTCATAGAAGCCTGCATGGCTACTGACTCTCCAAGACCTGGCTGGAATGAGAGCAAAACTCACCTTTGCTTCAGTGGAGACTTCCAAGAACCAAAACCTCACATGCCGATTGCCAACAGTGACAAAGTAGCTGCTGTCCTCAGAGAAGGAGAGGGCGATGACTCTACACGACACCTTGTTGGAAGCCACCACAACGTCTTTCTGGAGGAACGGGTACAGAGGCGCTCACCTACCCACTCCACACCTTGGCCACCCTGCGCCCCCATTTTTCTTGGACCCAGCAGTAGTCTAAACTCTGGGGAAACTGTGTGTGACCCTGGTCATTCCTGGTCCCCAGAAGGGCAGAGGAAGTTTCCCCAGGGAACACTAGGTGTCAGAACTCTCACCAGGGGTCAGCTCTGCAGCTGGAGGCAAGGCCCACACAATCCTGCTTCTCCACCCTGCCAGGGTGTGCGCACGGTCCCATGGCGGGTTATAAGCAGGGCCGGGACCTCAAGTCCTCCTACAGCTGTGGCAAAGCCCAGCCTTACGTGCATGTCAGGGAACTGCAGTTCACACCTCCAAGAGGAGGACGCTTTTAAAACCATTTCACAAGTGAAGAAATTGTCAAGGCACTTGTCCAAGGTCATAGCTAGCCAACATAAAAATAATATTTCTGTCATACACCTCACAATACAAGGGCTTTGCTCCCCATCTGTTCCCTACTTCAACAAGGACCTGATGGCCCAAACTCTTCGCCATGAGGTGACCTCAGAGAGAGAAGCCTCTCGGTAAGAATGGTGCCACAGAAAGCTGGTAGGTGCCCTGTAAGCACTTTCCCTGGCTGCTAAACTTTCCCTGTTTAGCTCCCAGGGTCTGAGGCTAGGGACTCCCTGGCCGCCATATACCCACAGCCCACTGGGTTCTCACCTTCCAGTCCCAAACATTGAGGACCATGTCATGCTGGTAGCCCATGGACACGATGTGCTTCATATTGGGTGAGAAGGCCACACAGGCCACACCATACTTGTGGCCCAGCATCTCTGCAACCTGCGTTTTCTCCTCCACATCCCAGACACGCACGGCTGGCCTGTGCCCGTTCTGGGGGTGGGGAGGTTGTGGTGAGTCCGTTACTATTGCTGAACCATGTGTCTAGAAGGCTGTTGAAGCTCGAGTTGACACTGTTACAACCTGTTCCCAAAAGCTACCTCCCCTATTTGCCACAGGGCCTCTCTAAAACCAGAAGAAGCCAATTCAGGGATTTCCAAGCTTGCTGAAAGCAGAAGGAATAGCTCTGAGACCTTGCCCACCCACTCAGTCAAGACTCACCTCTCCTGTCACTATGTACCTCCCATCTGGGGAGAAGGCCAGAGCACTCAGGGACTTCCTGGAGACAAGAAAAGGAGTCGTCACTGGTTCCACCATGCTCTCAGCATTCTGCCTACTCCTGGTCCCCAAGGCTGGGGAAAGGCTTGGAGAAATGAGTGTCAGCAGCTACTACACAGCCAGCTTGCCTGTGTGCCCAACATGGCATTCAGGGAAACGGAACAAAAGCAAGGGTCTTTTCCTCCCTCAGGAGCAAACCCAAACACTGCGATCCGGATGTCGCAGTGTGTGTGAGCTCCCAAGACCCGACCCACCTGTAACACAGGTGCAGACTGGGCCAAACTAGAGCAGTGGTACTCATGGCTAGACCCTGGTATAGATGGCACAGACACAGCTTGCCCAATAGCCGAAATGTTTCTACTTCTCCATATGGAGGCCAGAGAGCAGCCTTCAGAGTGGCTCCTCAGGAGCTAACTGCTCATTTCCTTGAGACAGGGCCTCTCACTGGGATCCAGGGCTAACGATTCGGCTAGGCTGGCTGGCCCCGTGTCTACCTTCCCACATTGGGAAGATAAGCACATGTCAGCATACCAAACTTTTTATGTGGGACCTGGATTTGGGTCCTCACACTTGCACAGCAAGAACTTTACAGACTGTGCGGTCTCTCTGGCCAGTCTCTGAAGCCCATAACTAGCCTGAACATGGGCTGATTAGCTGGCATGCCTTTTGGAAGAAGGACCATGCTCAGATTGTACAGCTTTAGCTCCTCCTTAGTTTCAATCCTGTTTTTATTCTTGTTTTTGTTTGCTTAGGATCTCATTATGTAGCTCAGGTCTTACTTCATGATCCTTCTGCCTCAGCACACTAAATGCTGGGATTACAGGCTCCTGTGTAATACCCACCTGGCTGCTATGCGAGTCTGACAACCCCAGAGAATTTACCATCCTCCCTGGACTGACTCAGTGGACATCTGGCTCCCTCCTTAAGATGCAGGGGGTAATGATGCGGCTTGTTATAGCTTCCTCTTCCCTTTTTGCTCCCCTGTCCCCAGCATGTGGGCCCAGGCTACTCTGCTGGTGACTTTACTCTTCATCTCTGCTGCGCCTCTGCCCTTACTAATTTTCCTTTGCATGGGTATCATCATTTCCTTTAGGTCACAAACTCAGGGAGGCCTTCCAATGTAGTTTTCCCCATTCTCTTTCCCAACACTCCTGCAAGCATTTTCCTCTCATAATCAGCTAGTAATCTGCTGGTGAGTTTATGGTCTGTCGTCCACACTGGCAGCTCTAGAGGGCAGATTCATGTCTCTGCTCACTACTAGACTGCTAATACCTAGCACAAAGCAGGTCCTTTAATCCCAGCACTCAGGAGGCAGAGGCTATGAGTTCAAGGCCAGCCTGGTCTACAAAGCAAGTCCAGGACCCCCAAGGCTACACAAAGAAACCCTGTCTCCAATCCTGTGGACATGGCTGAGTGAATGTCACAGCTGTGAGCACCTCCAGGCTCTGTGGGGAACAGGATTGGGCCAGTACCCTGGTCCCCCAACCCCGCCCCATGCCCAACCTACCTGGTAGTGTTAAAGATATGCTGCTGCTTGTTCTCCTTGGGGTTCAAGATCACCACCACACAGCTGGGAAAAAGAGGAAAATGAGTGTAAACTGGGGGGTTGGGAGAAGCATTGAGCCCAGGGATGATTTTGTCCCCAAAGAAAAACCCACGTGTCAATAAGGCTCCTTCTGGTTTTGTTTCTGTTTTTTGTCTCATCATGTAGCCCAGGCTAGCTCTGAATGCTCCCACCTGAGGCTCCTTTGCCAGGATGCTTTGGTGTCGGTAGTACTGGGGATAGAACCCAGGGTCTTAAGTATGCTGGGCGAGCACTTTGCCACTGAGTTACAACTCAGGCTTTTATAAGGTTCCCTTTGGGTACAAGGTTCTCTTTCTGGTTTCCCCTTCCTTCAGATATCAATGCTGAGAAATCTTGGGCACTTGTCATTATTAATCTGTTCTTAAGCAGAAACAAGCACTTCCTTTGCAGGAGCTATTCTGGCAGGCCCTAGGCCTACACAGACCTTATGCTATAATTACCTTCAGGCCCCACAGCTGCAGGTGAGGTCAGGGCGCTGTAGATCAGATAGAGAGGACCGGAGGCAGAGAGGGAAAGCTCTCTGCACAGGCCACCCAGCAGGTGAGAGGTGGAGTGGGGATGGAAACGTATCCCAGCTGGACTTAAGAGCTAGCCTGTCCTCCATCCCAGACTGTTCCCCAAGGTCTCATTAATATTTATTCTTTATTATTATGAGGCTACCCGACCCTATCTTGCTGGGGGAGCGGAAGAAGGCTCTTTCACTACCTAAGCAGTTTGGGACTAAACCAGTATGTCTGGACTAAACTGGATCTCCTTCAGTTCCCTCACCTATCTAAGTGGAGTGTACTTCTGGAGAGAAGCAGAGGCTTTAGGAAGAGCATATGCGGAAGAGCTGGACATGAGCGTGGGCTTTAATCACTCGATTTTCCCATGACTGCTGCCAATTCACATTCACAGTCACCATTAAAAGGCTTTCCCAGGCCTGGAAAGGTGGCTTAAAGGTTAAGAACACTAGCTTCCAGAGGTCCTGAGTTCAATTCCCAGCAATCACAAAGTGGCTCACCATCTATGAGATCTGGTGCCCCCTTCTGGCCTGCAGACACACATACAGGCACAACACTATACAAAGTAAATCTTAAAAAAAAAAGTTTTCCCAGATCTGACTTGCCAGGCACAGTACCCCGACAGCCCTCAGAGGGAGCAGCATTCTACAGGTGGGAAAGCCAAGGCCCAAAGAGATGCACCATCGACTTCAACTCCCAATCCCTAACCAGTGACCAGCTTATGCTAAAGCCCACCCATAGACTTACCCTGCTAAGTAGGCCACATGTCCTGTGCCAGGGTCGCAGGTTAGACCACTGCTGTTCTGGGCTGTGATGCCAAGCACCTTCTCAAGTGTCACCTGCAAAGAAAAGGGCTGTCAGAAATACCTGCTCTAGCAGGCCCCACATGGCATAGCTGCCTCAGCCACGAGTGTAATTCCTGCTGCATTCCACACATAGTCGAGCTTCTGAAGTCGTGCTGGTTACCTGCAACTTTAACTTGACCTTTGACAGCACTCCCCTGTCTGCTGAGGAGGAACAAGTGCTAACAAGGAAGAACCTGGGCCTGAAGGAGAGGGAGAATGCCCAGTGACAAGGTGATCGCTGACTGTGTCAAAGGATGCCTGTGGATGAAAGACTTAAATGCCGACAATCTGTTTGAAAGAAGGCATCGCAACCACCCTATTTACAGATGAGCCACAGATCCGACAGCTGGAGAGCGGCATGGCTGGAGTGCAAACCGAGGCACTCCAGCTCCAAGGCCAGCACTTCAGGCCACACAGGGCAGACACCACCCTGAGCAAAAGCAGACAGTGCTCCCTAATCAAAGTCAGTCTACAGTTTCAACAAGCAGAGAAACAAGTCAGACTAAAAAATGTAATAGCTTGAAGACACAGCCCAATAACAGAACATGCCTAGCATGTGTAAGACTTGAGACCCAGCACTGAAAAAAAAGAAAAC